AATGTCTTTGAGGGTGGAGGCAACGCGAGCGACTATGTGTGCTGTGCAGTGCGCGTGCTGCGCGGTAAGCGCGTGAGGGCGTGCGAGCGAGCGAGAGAGAGAGAGAGAGAGAGAGAGAGAGAGAGAGAGAGAGAGAGAGAGAGAGAGAGAGAGAGAGAGAGAGAGAGAGAGAGAGAGGGCCAGAGAGAGAAGAGAGGAGAGAAGAAACACAGAAAAGAAATATTTGGCCCTCATTCACCCATCCGCGAGCTCGCCATGCTCAGCATATTATCCTGCGGCGCGAGCGCCTACTTCGTCGGCGCGCCGCTGCCGCAGCAGACCGCCGCGGCCCAGCTCGGCTCGCGCAGCTGCGCGATCGACATGTCGATCGTGAAGCTCGGCACGCGCGGCTCGCCGCTCGCGTTGGCGCAGGCGTACGAGACAAAGCGGCGGCTGGCCGAGGCCTTCCCGGACGAGCTGGGCGCGGACGATGCGGTGGAGATCAAGGTGATCAAGACGACCGGCGACATGGTGCTCGACAAGGCGCTGAAGGACGTGGGCGGCAAGGGGCTCTTCACAAAGGAGCTCGACGTCTCGCTGCTCAACGGCGACGTCGACTGCTGCGTGCACTCGATGAAGGACGTGCCGACGTGGCTCGTGCCCGGGACGATCCTGCCGTGCAACCTGCCGCGCGAGGACACGCGCGACGCCTGGATCTCGCCGAGCGGTAAGCTGCCGCAGGAGCTGCCCGACGGCGCGGTGATTGGGACGGCGTCGCTGCGGAGGCAGGCGCAGCTGTACGCAATCAACCCGACGTTCAAGTGCGTCAATTTCCGCGGGAACGTGCAGACGCGGCTCAAGAAGCTGGAGGAGGGCATCGTCGACGCGACCATGCTCGCCAAGGCGGGCCTCAACCGCATGAACCTCGAGGAGCACATCACTGCGGTGCTCGAGTGGGACACCTGCCTTCCGGCGGTGGCGCAGGGGGCGATCGGGATCCAGATCCGGGAGAAGGACGAGAAGATGTCGCGCTACATCGGCGCCCTCAACCACGAGCCGACCAAGGTCGCCGTCGACTGCGAGCGCGCCTTCCTCGCCGCACTCGACGGCAACTGCCGCACGCCAATCGCGGGCCAGGCAAAGATTGTCGACGGCGCGCCCGCCCCCTCCCCCGCCCCGCCGGGAGGGACAACAGGGAAGAGGGGAGTTCCGCCTAACCCATCCCCCCCCCCCCCCCTTACCCCTCTCACCCCCTCCCCCCCCCTCACCCCTCCTCACCCCCCTCCCCCCTCCTCACCCCCTTGCCGCCGCCTCTGCCGCCGCAGGCCAGCTCCGCTTCGAGGGCCTGATCGCCAAGGTGGACGGCACCACGGTGCTGCGCACCTCGCGCACCGGGCCGCTCTCGGACGCTGCCAAGGCGAGACCGCACTCCCACCCGCCGCTCTCCCCCGCTGCACACACACGCCACCCCTCCTCCCTCCCTCCCTCCCTCCCTCCCTCCCTCCCTCCCTCCCTCCCTCCCTCCCTCCCCTCCCCTCGCCACCCCCTCGCCACCCCCTCCCTCGCCGCCGCCTTCCCTCACCGCCCCCTCCCTCTCGCCCCTCCCAGATGGGGACCGAGGCGGGCGAGGAGCTGAAGGCGAAGGTTGGCGGAGACGCGCTCGCCTTCTTCGGCGAGGGAGAGGTGCTGCCCGAGCCCAAGTCGTCGGTCACCGGCGTCGAGACGGACGGGCTTGGCGGCTACGTCAAGGGCGAGTACGCGATGGACGAGAGCGGCAAGGACCCGGGCTTTGCAAAGGCGCAATAGGGCGGGCTGGTTTGGGCGGGGACACACTTGAGGTGCAGCCCCTCAGCGGCGGCGGACAGAGGGTGACGCTTGTGCGGTGCGCCCTCGCGGCGCGGGAGAAGTGATGAACAATCGGCGCGGGCGGAGATATTCGCGCAGCGGTGTACGGACTATACGGTCGGCCCGTAGGGTCTCTCAACTTAAAATCGTGCTTCGTGGTCGTAAAGCCGTAACGGACTAACGTGTACACCTAGAATTTGTGTGATGTGCTCGCACACCAGTCACCACTACGGAGCACCATAGTCCATACGTCGCACACTCGACACACGCTGTGGGGGGGGGTACCCCCGCCGGCCCCGCCGGCCTCCCACCCCCCCGCTCCCCGGTGGTCCCCGGACCCCCCCCGCGGGTTCTATGCCTAACTTTAATTTTTGGGGCCTATTAGGACGACAGTTGCGCTAACCGGCATGTGCGAGTATATGGGACAAAAGCGTCGAAAATGTCCCAAAAAAGCGTCTCGAGTTTGTGGCAGCTCCGCAGCCAGCGCGGGCTGCCAGGACGCACCGCTCGCGCGTTCGGCGCACTCCCTGGCACCCAGGGAGTGCGCCTAACCGACCAGACCGAATAGGCTCGATGCCGCGCTCGCTGTGGAGCTGCCACAAACTCGCCGCCGAGCGTGCCACCGACGGCGTCCTGGCGGAGGTGGTGGAGTTTGAGACCTGAGGCTGCGGAGGTGACGCCTGAGGTACCGGGCCGTGCACGGCGACTCAGCCGGCGACCGCCACGGGCTCAGACGAGACTTGTCGACGCGTTCCGGCTCAGCTTCACCGTGGTCCTCGGGCGTCTGTCGACGTCAGGACCACCCATACAGCTCGCGGGTTTGAGGTCGCAAGAGCCAAGATGGTGGCGTTTGGACATCCCAACCATCACACAAGACAGCCTGTAGGTGGTGGCGGGACGGCGCAGTGTTTGTGGCACTCGGCAGTAGGCACCCGCGGCACGGCCCCGCTGTCGGCTCTCGCGGGCTGCGGAACCGGCCCCAGAGGGGGACGGTCCGGGCGAGTGTGGCAGCTCCTGCGCTAGTATGGGCAGCCTCTATCATAGCACTACTGATCCTGGTCATTAGAGCTGCCAGGGATAGCGTCAGGAGCCGGTAGGAGTCAAAACCCCTCATATTTGAGACATCGTGTCCCATATACTCGCACAACGAGCCAACCCGCTATTTGTTGGCTGAAATCCTCAACGTTGTTCAAGTGGTTCACCCCAGCCCATCGATCGGCTGTCACTGTTTGTTACTGTTGTGTTCTACTTACACTGTCATGTTCAGTGGTCAGCATATAGTGCATACACCAGTAAATACAGAAAATGGCAAAAAATCCGGGTAAACCCCGAAAATAGTAAATACCTGGGGGTTTCCGGGTATTTTCGGGTATTACCCGCACTGCGGGACACTAGAGATCGTCGTGGGTCACTGCCAGGCCTTCCTTACTGTTGACTGTTGTGTTCAGACAGTCGGCCTATAACGTTATTTATAGCGACTGTTGTTGGGGGGAGCCCCACTGTTGTTCTGTTGTTACTGTTGACACTAGCAACACTGTTCAGCTCCTACTAACGTTAGGCAACCCTACCCCCCGCAGCCACAAGCACAACATGTGCACACACTTGTCCATGTCCATGTCCATGTCCCCATGTCCATGTCCATTGTGTCCCATGTCCCCATGTGCATATATGTGTGCATGTGCAACTGTGCATGTGTGCATGGAGAAAGCACACGACAGCCCCGGAGCTCCCACGCGCCACGGCCCACGCGCGTCGGAGATCGGACGTCGTCCGTCCTCGTCCGGGACCGGCGACCGCGCGCCCCCCCCGAATGCCGAAAATCCCCGAGAGAGCCGCGAGAGTCTCTCTCGCGCCGGGCGCAAGCCGCAGACGGCAGAGCGGGAGCTAGCGGAGAGAGAGCGACACCGCAGCTCACAGGCCCGGCGCTACAATGAGTTTTAGATTTGTTTGATCATACTAAAAATCTCCTCTTGACCCGGGGCCAGATAGAGCGCACGGTGGGCCACTGTGGCAGCAGCGCGAGGGTGTGAGCGTTTGACGCAGGCCGTCACGACGGCCCTTCTGTTCCTCCCCCCATCTGGCGCAGCCTCTCGCTAGCGCGGCGAGTGCTGCGGTGCTCTGCGCCCAGTGCCCCCTCACCCAGGGCGTGCGCCCTCGTCGCCATCTCCACCGCCTCGTCGCGCTTGCCCGCCGCCTCGAGCTGCGCCGCCAGCTCGAGCAGGGACGAGACGGCCGCCTCCTGCGCGGCGGCGATGGTCTCGCCGCCGGGCGGGCCGCCGAGCGAGGGCGTCGCGACGGCGGCCGGGGTGGAGGAGGCCACCAGCTGCGCGGCGGGCGGCAGCGGCCCCGCCAGTGCGTCCTTGAGGCCGGGCACGAGGTTGAGCGAGCCCGTGTACAGGATGGAGAAGCCGTTGTTGCAGCACCAAAAGACGAGGACGGAGGCCGGCATGGAGAGGGCGACCGGGAGCGAGACGAGCGTCAGCCCGCCAAACACCAGCTTGATGCTCCGCTGCTGCTGCACCTCCGCCGCCGACGCGCCGGGCGGAGGAGGAGGCATCGCGAGCAGCAGCAGCGCGACCGCCGAGCCGGTCGAGAGGAGGGGGAGGGCATAGGTGGGGTCGGAGGCGCCGAGGTCGGGGAACCAGAGCGCCCCGCCCTCCGAGGCGCCCGGCCGCACCTCCGCCAGGTTGCGCAGCCCCCAGAAGAAGGAGATGAAGACGGGCGCCTGCGCGAGCGCCGGCAGGAAGATGCGCGCGGGAGAGGTGCCGTGTGCAGCGTAGAGCGCGGCCATCTCGGCCTGGATCACCGCCGGGTCCTCGCCCGCCTGGCCTCGCGCCATGATATGCGCCAGCGGCACCTTCATCGCCTGCATCCGCGTCGTCTGCCGCAGGCTATACACGGAGAGCGGAAGCAGCGCCGTGCGGGCGGCGACAGCGGAGCCCGCGATGGCTGCCCACCACGGCAGGTCCAGGCCCCCGTGGACAGCGTCCACGAGGCGCAGCGCCAGATCCGACGGCCAGAAGCCCAGCTGAGCGTCGACTGCCGCCGGCACCAGGGCGTCTGCGAAGGCGCTGTCGGCGGTGGCTGTCACCTCTGCTGCCGCCGACTCTGCCGCGGACGCTGCCACCGCCTCGACGGCGTCGCCAGGGCTCGACGGTGCGACGGCCTCGCCGACAGCAGTCGAATACCGCGCGGGCAGCGGTCCTCGTAGGCGCGACGCGGCTCGGCGAGATAGCTGCAGCATGTGCAGAGTGGGTGGGGTCCCCCCCGGCCTGCGTTTTGCGTTGAGCGGGGTGGCTGCGCCCTAAGGATCCTACCGTACCCCCTCTTTGCTATAAATAAGCGGGTTCGCCAGCGAGACTCGCACACACACGGAATCGCTCGACACTTGCACGGTCGCACATGAGTGTTAGAGTTGTTTGGTGTTGGAAGACAGCGATCGCCAACTCGCTGGCCTCTCCGCAGGCCCCCCCGACCGCGTCGATCTCATCGGCGCGGGCTCTCTCGGCTACGGACCGGCCCCAGCTTCGGCTGAGGGCTAACATGAAGCTGCCGAGCCCAAATCACTGTGAGAGTCGTGATTTCTTGTTGGTCTTTAAAAATCTCTCTTGGTGTTGTTAAAAATCTCAACAACAACAACAAAAATCTCTCTCAAAAGACCTAAACGTGACTTCGGCGCTCTCTGAGTCCGATAAAAAGATCTGTCACACCAGTACACACAACACAGATGTCCTGCTCCTGGATCAATCATACATAGGATCATTACAAGAAACACTGACAGTGCGCCGCCTCCCAAGCCAATGCTGTGTAAGGGTCTCTGACACTCCTGGATGCATGCTCAGTCACAACGGAGTAGCAAGCAATGTTCGGAAGCACCCGAGCGACGAGCGGTCCCGAGCCGTCCCGAGCCGTCCCGAGCCGTCCCGAGCCGTCCCGAGCCGTCCCAACGCGCTACACGGGGCCGCACATAGGCGTCAGACATGACGCCCGCATCTTCCAAGAAGACCGCTTCCTGCAGGCGCGGATCAAGCCATATGGGAGTATGGTCTTGGGGACAAGGCTTACGTCGGGCAGCGGCAGATCATCACAGAATGGAAGGGCCGGAACCTGTCCCTCGAGAAACAACGGACAAGACGGTGCAGCACTACCGTGGGCGTGTGGAGCACCTCATTGGCCAGGTAGTGGACAACCGTATGGCTCTGTGTACTACGTGGCGTGGCTCGTCACCCTGCTTGCCGCGGTCATGAAGATCGCGGCACACATGGTTGGGCTCCAGGAGCGTATGAAGGGACCTAGGTATGATGTGTTTGGCCCGTGGCCGGTGTGCCCGCCGCACATCGCGGCGCAGTTTCCTTAGTGCTTTGCTGTGTTTGCTGTTAATCTCATGAGAAGTTTACTATTTCTTCTCACTGCAGCACCTCCGCGCCGCCCAGCCGTGCAGCCCAGCCAGCCTGAGGCGGGCCGCAAATGTCCCAGCCACGCCCCCGAGCGAGGCCGAGCGAAGCCGAGCGGTCCCGAGCGGTCCCGAGCGGTCCCGAGCGGTCCCGAGTGGCCCCAGAGCACCCCAGAGCACCCCAGAGCCTACCTGAGAGCCCACGACCGCTTGGCATGCACCTGCGAGGAGCCTGTTTCTTTGTAATGATTAACACGTTGCCGCTCTCTCTTGCCCTCGCTCTTCCGGCAGCAGTAGAACAGGCAGCGGTCCGGGATCTGCTCCGTGCAGCAGCAGAGGGCGCGCTGTAGACGCAGCCGCAGCAACCCACAGCGCCAACTAATGGATCCATTCCTCCTTGTACTCACAAGCAAAACATATATGTATAAACAGCTCTCGTACCCTTAGGCCCCTTCACGGCGCGAGACCACGCTGTGTGTCGAGCCCGGTCGCCATACTTTTCGTTTTCCGCGCCGGCAGCGGAAGGATATACACAGAATACACATGTGTATACACATATACACGACCGCCAGGGTATTTTGTCGATTTCCTCAATTTTGCCTCAGATTTTGCCCCAGACCAGCTCTCAGACTCAGGGAAACTCGCGAGTTTCCAGAATGGAGCACCAAACACCCTCTGTTTTCCCTGGAAATTTCCGGAAACGCAAAGTGCTGGTGACCTCTGTTTTCCTTTTTGTTTGCCGGAAAACCTGCTACATCCCAACCAGTCAGTGCACTGTGGGCTCAGAAGCAAATTGCTCTCCTGCTGCCACGGGAGTTGGCAAGTCAGGCGCACAAAAGTCGGAAATATCAGCACACCATCCCATAAGCCTAACACATACCCGGGTACAAACCCATCACAGGTGCGGCCGTGCCTGGCGTGTGTGCACGTGTAATGGGCGACTTCGGCCCCGCCTACGCCTACGCACAGCAGGACCCGGGACTGGTGTGCCAGGAGTGCCACGCCGGCCCGCTCCGCCTCCCACGCTCCGGCACGTGTCCGCACTGTGGCACCTCGCTGCGCGGTGCCGCACCCGCTGGAAGCCGCGGCGGCGGCGGTGGCAGCGGTCCAGACATGGAAACGGCGACGCTCGAGACGATGGTGCCCGCGCTCCTGCAGCGAATCGTCGCGCCGGGCCTACTCGAGGGCCTCGCAGACTATGGCGACGCCAGCGCCGCCGCCGACGAGACGGCCATCGAGTCGCTCGAGACGGTAAAAGTTGAGCCGCATGTCCGGGTGGAGATCTCACACCGCGAGCCGGACCGGAGCCCTCGGGATGCGGCGGCGCATGCCGCAGAGGCGCGCGCGGCGGCCGCAGCAGGGATGGATGCGTCGAGCGCGACCGACTGCGGCGCGGGCGCGGGCAGCGGAGCAGCGGCCGCCGCGCCGCCGCTCGAGATGCGCGGGACCGCCTCGTCATTTGGGACGCACCTGGGTGACCTGCCGAGCGGCGTGAGCGGCTCGCTCGTCCTCGCCTCCCCTCGCGACGCGTCTGCGCCGCTCGAGAACGCGAGCGAGCTGTCCGGCGCCGTGGTGCTGGCGTGGCGCGGCGGCTGCTCGTTCGTGGACAAGGTGCGGCGGGTGCAGCAGGCGGGCGCGGCGGCCTGCCTGGTGGTGCAGACGGGCGACAAGTGGCCCCTCTCCATGTCGGACTCCGCGAGTGCCGGGAGCGACATCACGCTGCCCTCGGCGATGCTGAAGCCTGCCGACGGCGAGACGAGCGCTCGAGGGGCGGTGAGACACTTCCGAGACACACGCCTCGCCCTCCAACGCAGGCGAGAGGCTGCTCGAGGAGCTCGACGCCGCGCGCGCCGGCGGCGGCGCAGGAGGCTGCGTGTGGGTGAGCGCGCAGTGCGTGGACCACCAGACCACGTGCGCCGCGAGCTCGGACCGAGATTCGCCGAGATGCGCTCAGATCCGCAGAGAGTCGCTCCTCCGCCGTCGCCGCAACGAGGAGACGCCTCTCCCCTCGTCGCGTCCCCCGACAGTCCCCGACACGTCCCCGACGCGCCCCGCAGGTGCGCTGTCTGCATGGAGGAGCTAGTCGCCTCGACGCTGGCGGTGCGGCTGCCGTGCAGACACACATTCCACGAGGAGTGCCTTCGCGCGTGGCTCTCGAAGCACAACACGTGCCCCTGCTTGCGTCTCGAGCACCCCGCGCCAGGACACGTCCGTGACATGTCCGCCGCCCCGCAGGTGCCCGACGTGCCGCGCGAAGCTGCCGACGACCGCCGAGGTGGCGGCCGCAGAGGAGGAGCGCGAGGGCGGCCCGCCGCCCCCCTCGTGGCTCGACTACCCGCTGCCGCGCGCCGGCGCGCCGCCCTCGAGCTCGTCGATGTACACCTAGGCAGGGACGGCGGGTCGGCGGCGTCGCGTTTCGCGGTTCGGCGCGGCGAGCGGGCGCCTCGAGGGGGGGTTGTGCGGCTCTTAGGGCGGTCGCCAGCAGTGGCCGGTGCCTCCCCCCGCCTGCTCCCGTCGATACCATCCGCAGGCCCCGAGGTGGCGTGAGTGTGCACACGGTGGAGCGAGGCTGGGTGGAGGATGCAGCTTGGAGAGGGAGCTGAAGCATGCGCGGTTGTGTTACTGATACTGTGTGCAGCCGGATCCGCCTTGTTCCAGCGCCGGTATTTTTTTGGACGGGGAGAGGCGTCAGACCGAGCCGGTTGTAGCCGGTTGAGTTCTCCCCTCTGCTAGTCGAACCAATGTAATCGAGTGTTTTTCATCTTTCGCTCTCTTCACACCACTTTGAATCGGTCCTCGCACGCACAAACTGTCGGCACGGAGAGGCGTCGCGCACGCCCCACAACACATCACGTTCTCCCTCCTCTCCATCTCCCCTCCCGTCACGCTCACTGGTATGTGTAGTGGTGGCTGGAACCATAGCCGTACCGCGACCGGCCGGCTGCTCGATGCCGCTGCGCGGCCTCCTCCGCCGCCTCAGCCCGCGCCTCCGCCTCCGCCTCCACCTGCACGGCCGACGTAAAGCCTGCCGGCAGCCCCATCGCCCGCATTAGGTCGAGGTCGGACTGGGCGGGGGGCGGCGCCGGGCAGGGCTGCGGGGGCGGCGGCGGCGGCCCCGGCGCGCGCTGCCAAGTGCGAGCGGGCGGAGCGAAGGCGGAGGGCGGAGGCGGGGCGGGAGGGCGGGAGGGCGCAGGAGGCCAGGCGGATGGGTGAGGCGGTGCCGCAAGGGCATGCGCTGGCGCAGGCGGCGGCTTCCACTCCGTCGCAAAGCGGTCCTCCACCGCAGGTTGGGCGGCAGGCTGGGAGGCGGCAGCGGGTTGGGAGGCGGCAGGCTGGGAGGCAGCGGGTTGGGAGGCGGCGGGTTGGGCAGCAGCGCCGCCAACAGCGCCGTGCTCTGCCCGCTGCGCCGTGCTCACCGCCCCTCCGCCGTGGCCCCTCCCCCCCCCCGCCCTCGCGCGGAGCTCCTGCTTGAGGCGCAGCGTCGCACGCCGCTCCTCGAGCGCGCGCTGCCGCTTCGCGCGCTGGTCCGTCGCCGACGCCCTCGCCGCGCCCGTCTCTTGCGCCATCGCCTCGTGCGAGCGGCGAGCACCGCCCTCTGCGTCGCGCGCCCTGCCGTCGGCAACCTCGCGGCGGGCAGCCTCCTCCCACGCGAGGCGCTCCAGCTCCTGCCCCTGCCTCGCGCCGCCGCTAAAGAGAGGAGCCGCGCCGCCGCCTCCTCCTCCCCCGCCTCCTCCGCCTCCTCCTCCGCCATCGCCGTAGCTGGGCCCAACCTCGCTCTGCGCGTCGCCTCCGCGCAGCCGCTTGAGCTCAAAGTCAACCACCGACGACGCGTGGGCCGCCGCCTTCTCGTCCGGCGGCTCGCCGCTCGAGAGGGCCTCGTACAGCGCAACCTTGCGCGCCATCGCCTCGGCCGCGCGCGCCTCGTCCGCACGCTCCTGCGCGGCGCTGCTCGCGTCGCGCTCGCCCACGCCGCGGTTGGAGCCGGCGGCGAGTGGGTCCGCCCGCCGCTGGCGGCTCCGCCGCGCCTGCGCCTGCAGCGCCGCCTGCGCACTCTCCGGCTGCCGCGCCGCCGTCTCGCTCTGGTAGAGCGCCGCGCGCATATTGACGAGGGTCGCCTTGCCCACATCCTCGATCTCTCGAGGCCGCTTCGGCAGCAGCGTGCTCTCGGTGAGCCAGCCGAGGCTCATGGTGGGAACCGCGCGCGGGGGTTGCAGAATTCTTTTTTCGGCTAGCGACGATGAAGAGAAACATTTCGTGGCGCGTCGGCAGGCCCACCACGAACGGATGCGCGACGAGCGCGCTCGGGAGGCGGCCGCGGGCAACGCGGAGCTTCCGCCGGAGGACGACGCGGTCGAGATGGCGAGCGCCGCCCAGCTGCTAGACAGCGTGGCGGAGGCGGGCCCGAACTACACCCTGCTGCGCAGCAAGGAGACGAAGGCGAAGCGGCGGAAGTAGTACAAATCCAAAATGGTAAAGATAGACTCTAGCCTTTCCGCTCTCGGATCGAGAGGTTCGCGCGCGCGGACGACCAAGAAGGACAACAAACCACAGGCAGCAAGAGCGGCCGCAAACCACAGGCAGCAAGAGCGGCCGCACACTGCTCGGTAACCCCCTGCACATCTAAAGCCATCCCTGCTGCTAGCGAGGGGGGTGTGACCCCCCCAGCAGCAGAGCTCTGCTGCTGGGGGGGTCCCGACCCCCCCACCCAGCAGCAGAGCGCACTGGACCCAGCTCCCGCCTCTTCGCCGCCGCCGCCCCCTCCCCCCTCGGCTCGTATTTGAGCGGTACGCTCGAGGCGGTTGTGTTCACCGCGCCGCCTGGCTGGCAGTAGGAGGGTCCGCCGTGAGACCACTGTTTTGGTGCCGATCATAAATTCTCGCCGCTGGAAAGCTACTTACTTACACCTTTACAGCTGTCTGTACATAGGCTTTAGATGTGCAGGGGGGGTACCGAGCAGTGCCAGTGGTGACTGGTGTGCGGCCGCTCCAACAAACGTAAAAGGGTGCACAACGCAAAGGGAGGGGAGTCACTCGACGACTGGCTGGCCCAGCGGCGCTGGCAGCAGACAAGGGCGGCCGGCCACGTCGGTCGGGGATCGCGGGTGGGAAGCGGGGGGCGCGGGAGAGGGAACGAAAGCGGGGCGAGACCGTGGGGCCGCGCCCACCCGGCGCGGAATGCGCCGCGCTTGGGGGTCGGTCACTTTCACTCGGGGAAAAAAGGACATGGAAGGCGGCCTTGGAGCAGCGCTCGCCGCCGCCGTGCCGCCTCACTCCTCCATGGGCTTTTCGTGGACGTGGCGCTCGCCGCACAGCTTGACCTGGATGAGCGGGATCGTGCAGGGGTGGATGTCGATGTCGAGGAGCCCGCGCTCGGAGAGCGGCATGCCGCAGTGGATGTGGCCGATGCACCGCTCGAGGGCGTTGTAGATGCCCCAGAGGAGCCCCCCGACGCCGCCCAGGAGCAGGCCGGTCGTGAGCAGAATCGTGCCGATGAGGTTCGCGAGGTCGCCGACGATCCAGCTCAGCTGCAAAGACGGAACGGAAATGGCTCGAAGCGTGGGCGGGCGGTAGGTGGGCGGGGTGGGGTGGGTGGGGGGGGGGGGGAGTGGCGGGTGGCGGGCGCGGCGCGCACCAGCCCGCATTCGCCGCCGAGGATGGCGACAACCAGGTCCTTGGTCTTCTCGAGCGCCTTGCCGACGATGCCGATGGATTGGCCTAATCGACACGGGCCACGCGCTCAGAGCGAACGTGTGCGGCACCTCAGCAAAAGCCGGCGGGGACGTGCCGAGCAGCGACTGAATGAGGCCGCGGACGCCACCCGGAGCCGGAAGCGTCGTCGCGTCGCCGTCCGTCTTGCCAAAGATCTTGAGGATGAAGGTCTCGACGCCGCCCAGGACCGACCAGGTGAGGCCGAGGACGCAGCCAACCAGCCCACTGATGTCCCGGAAGAGCTCGGCCAGCCCCCCTTCCTTCTTGAGCTTCTCGAGGATGGTCTTGATGAGGCCCTGGTCCTCCGCGTCGTCCCTCGGCTGTTTCTTGAAGCGGAGCGAGCGGAGGAAGCCGCGGACGCCGCCGACGACGGCGTGCACGAGTCCGTCAGCCTTGCCGAGGATGGCCTTGATGATGCCCTCCTCGTCGTCCCTTGGCTGCTTCCCGCCGAGCATCCCGATGATCGTCCGCAGGAGGCCTCCGATGTCTTGGCCTAGCCCCTTGAGGAACGACTTGACCCCGCCCATCAGCGAGTCGAGGAGGGTGCCGACGGCTCCTATCGGAACACAGGCGCAGGGCTTTTGTCAAGCAACGCCGCGCACACCATGCAGCGAGGGCGCGTGGCGCGCCGAGCAGCGCGTCGAGTATCTTGATCTCGTCGCCCCCGAAGTGCTCCTTGAGGTTCTTGAGGATGTTGGCGTCGTCGGGGATGATCTTTCCGACGAGCTTCCGGACCCAACCGAGGATCTGGTGGACGCCCGAGAAAGGGTTCTCCAGCACCCAGCCGAGGCCGTGGACGATGCCGCCCACCCGCGTGACGACGCGCTCGACGAGCCCGACGACGGCGTCGTCGATGCCGCCGAGGAAGTCTCCGATCTTCTCGGCGATCGGGGAGAGCGCCCCGAAGAGGTCTCCAAGCAGGTCTCCGACAGCGCCGTTGACCTGGCCCAGCAGAGCGCCTATGGGATGTGACCCTGCGTTCCGAGTGTCCCTGCATGCAATCTAAGGGCGCAAAGAGAGGGCTCGCCCGTCTTGCCGAGGATATCGATGTCGATGCCATCCTGGGCGAGGGCGTCGGTCACGGCGCTGAGGATCTGCTCGGTCAGCTTGTCGCCGAATCCGACCAGCTCGCGGACGAGCCCGAAGATGGTCCGCAGCAGGCCCGCGGTCTCGTCGGTGCCGAAGACCTTCTCGAGCAGACCCTTGACGCGGCCGCGGATGCCGGGCAGGATGCCGTCGAGGACGTCGCCGACCTTGCCGATGATGGACCGGATGAACCCCCCAGCGTGGCCGAGGACGCCCTTGGCGTCGGGGTCGTCATCGTCGCCGCGGAGGATGGCTCGCAGGCCCTTCTTCACCTTCTCGAGGCCGCATCCGATCGTGCCGGCGATGCGGTAGAGGAAGCCCTGCGAGGAGGCGTCTCGTGTGAAGCTTTGCTCGCGGCCAGACGCGCCCGGGAGATTTGGCAGAGGAACGGGGTGGGGCGGAAGCGGCGGCGCGAAAAAGGGGGGTCAGCGGCCGAGGCGGCGTAGGGTCGGCCCGAGAATAGCACACGCCTCGAGCGACTCAAAGAGGCCACCGCAGTGGACCAGCTCCCGAAGGAGAGTCTTGACCAGCTCGAGCGCGTTGTTCTTGACGAACGAATAGACCTTTTTGAGGAGGTTATCGAGCAAGCCGCCGAGGTTGTCGCCGAGCAAATCGGTAATCGAGCCCGTGATCTTCTTAAGCCCGCCGTCCACCTTCTGGAGGACGCCGCGAATCGGGGCCCTGCCATTCAAGTCGTCGTCGTCGCCGCCGCCGCCGCCCAGGTGCTTGATGACGGGGATCTTCTCCTTGAGGCCGCGGTGCTTGATCTCGGCGATCCCGCCGCTCTTCTTCTCGAGGAGGTACGCCTTGCTTGGTGGCGCGACTGACGGCTGCATCACGAAGAGAAAGAGGCTGTGTTGCAACTGAGGGTGTAGATTGCGTGCCGTCGGTGGGTGTGTTTATGCGATTGCACTGCCCTCGACTTCCTGATCAAAAAGAGCGCCTTCGGCACTACTCTCTCGAGGTCTCGTGCTCTCGATAAAAAAACGCCTTTAGGTCGGGGCCACAAGGCCACAGCGCCTCGGGCGCTCGTGCGAGCGACCAGCCGATGCGGCGGAGAGTGGCAGGCAGTGGGCGGCATTTATTTCTCTCGATGCAAAAGTTGGGTCTTGCACTGACTTTGTGCGCACGAATAGGGCAAAGAAAGCAAGCGCCGATTCGCTGGAGTCGCTTAGGCGGCTCCCGTGTTGTACCTGTGTTAGTGCCAGTGCGCGCCAGTCCCGTGCCCAGTGTTGTGTGCGAGGGAGTTTTGTGTAATCTCAAAGCCAAAAGCTTTGTCCCAAACGCGCGAGAAGAAAAAGTGGAGCACAAGAGATAGGGTGGGTGGTACCTTTCGTGAAACTGAAACGCGGAACGCGATCGGTCTCGCGTTCCTCAACGCTTGCGATTCAGCTGTCGCGCCGCTGGATGATCTTGCTCAGCTCGCCGAGCTCGACCTGAACGCTCAGCGGCGCGACCGCTGAATCGCAGCCGTTCGTGCTGCACGCATGCATCGTTGCAGTTTCAGATTACTTCCCCCCCTAGGTGTCAGGAGACGGAACAGAGCTGTAAACGTCTCACTCACTAGAGACCCACACCCGGGCAGCGCGGCACGGCGCTGACGTGCGCGGGCTCCGCCGGTCAGCCTGCCGCCGGTCAGCCTGCCGCCGTGCGTGCCCTGCTCGGGGAGAAACCTCTGCTGCGCCAATCCTCGGGCTCTGTGCAGGGCGTTCGCCTCGGCGGTGCGGCAAAGGCGCGCGGACGGCCGATCTCGGCTGATCTCGGCTGATCTCGGGATGGTCTCGGCTGATCTCGGGATGGTCTCTCGATGTCGCCCAAACTCGCAGGTGCGGCGGGGCGATTGGGAGGGCCACGTGACGTCATATTGCGGGGCGCACTTCCGCGTGCGCTGGCGCACCGCTGCGAACGAGAAACTCGACGAGGAACATGATCCTGAGAGCACGAGAGCGACGGCTCAGATTGTGACGTGTCCACGACGCAGCGAGTAGGAGCACACCTTCGTGTCGCTGCAGCCGCTGCTCGTCCGTCCGCCAGCCCAGGAGAACGCTCCCGGGAAGACGTCCGGCAAACGGAAAGCGAAACCTGCACGGAAGGCGACACCTGCACCCGCCGCGAAGCGTGGGTGGTGGGCCCCAGCACGGACGATCTCGACCTGCTGCAAGCGACCTACGAGGCAAGGACGCACGGCAAGGGGACCCACCCGGATCTCGAGGAGCGCAAGCGGCTCGCGAATGCGCTTGGTGTCACGCCCGAACAGGCGAGCCCTCCCTCCCGCCTACCGCCTCTCCTCTCGAGCCGTCTCGTCGCTTGACTCTCTCCTACCCTCGTCTCGCCCCTCCCCTCCACCCTCCCCTCTCGCATCAAATCTCGCCTCCTACCTCACCCCTCCTCGTCGCCCGTCGCCGCCTAACACAGCTGAGACCTCAACTGCAGGTGCAGGACTGGTTCCGAAACAAAAGAAAGCGCGACCCGCAGGGCGCAGATAAGATGGCTGCGATCGAGCGTAGCGAGACTGCCTGCAAACGCACCACCGGATGCGTCAAACCCGACGGCCACGACGGGAGGTGCACGTGGGCAGCGCTGGGCAGCGGCCTCTGCCAAGACAGCAAACTGCCGCGGTGGCAATGCCTCTGCGACCACTCAGATTGCGCCGCAGTCCCTCGAAGAATTCTTTTTTCAGCTAGCGACGATGAAGAGACAAAGAAGAGCGCGGCCGGAGAGAGAGAACGACGAGAGCGGGACGAACACAAAGGGGAAGTGACCTTGCATCGCCCAGTACATGTAGAGCCTGCATCATGATGACCCCTGGGGTTTGCCGTCATGTCGGCTCCTCGCTCGGCTCCTTCGGAGCCTCTCTCTACTGCTGGGGAAGGCTCCGCGTCCTGACGCTGAGCGCTCGGCAATAGCGCACGGTTGGGGAGCTCTCCCTCTAATAAATGTAGCGAGATCCGTCGGAAGACGCCGGCTTGAAACGAGCTGTGGACTGATGCGTAGCGCTAGTCGACGCTAGGGTTCACGCCCGTCACCTGCGTGTCAATCAGACGCTGACCCACCAGGGCGATCCCAAGGGGTTCCCAATGTCTGCCATTGATCCGTCAGCGACCAGCGCTGCAGCCGCCGTATTCCAACGCTGGTCAGATCGCCACACCAAGGCCCCGAGTCGGTACGTGGCCGAGCCGAGCGTAAGGCAGCCGCCGTCCGCCGGCGGACCTTCTGCACCGGAGAAGCACTCGGAGTCAAAGCCGCAGCAGCATGCTGTGCAGACTCACGCAGTGGCGGGCTCGGACTCGGAGGAGGACATGCCGTTGTCAAAGCGCAGGGCGGTCGTCGCTGCCGCCGACTCGGACTCGGAGGATGACGCGCCGCTGTCAAAGCGCAAGGCGGTCGCCCGCGCAGTCGCCTCCAAGCCCATGCCTATGATTCCCCGACCGGCGGCGGAGCAGGCGCTGCCCGCGAGCGCTCCGGAGCTGCCCCCCCACCAGGCGGCGCCAAGGTCGCGGGTGATGGCGGAGCGGGTCGTGGACACCGTCCAGCAGTACTACGTCGACAGCGAGGCGGGGGCGGGCTGGCAGCGAGCCAGCGAGGTGGAGGCTGGGCTCGTCGCCGCCTTTTGGGAGAGCGCCCTGTGCGAGCGGGAGGCCGACGGAGGCGATTCGCTGATGACGGCCACCGAGCCGGCGGAGCGAGTTCGGTGCTTGGCCTGCTTGGGCAGGCACAGGAGGCACGTCTGTGGCCGCACTTTTGCAACGCTGCCGCCGCCTGCATCCGTGCCGCCGCCTGCGTCCGTGCCGCCGCCTGCGTCCGTGCCGGCGGCTGCGTCCGTGCCGCCGCTTGCGTCCGTGCCGCCGCTTGCGTCCGTGCCGGCGGCTATGCCTGTACCGGCCTCTTTCCCTCCGCCTCCGGAGGGGTCTGTGCCTGTGCCGCCGCCTCCGCCGGCAGCCGTGCCTGTGCCGCCGCCTCCGTCGTCCCCGGAGCGAGTTCGGTGCTTGGCCTGCGATGGCAGGAGCACGAAGCACAACTGCGGCCGCAGCTTTGCGATCAAGGCGGCGGCGATGTCCGCTCCCAGCGGGATGGCGGCCCGCCCGGTGTGCGGCGCGTGCGGAGAGGAGAAGCTGGCGTCTGCCTCCTCGCAGCAGCAGCTATCCCAGCAGCCCGCACGCCGCTGCACGGCTTGCGTGCGGGACAGCGCGTGCAGCAGCGTGGCAGCAGAAAGTGAGGGCTTGCGCCTGCACCTCTCGAGCAGCAACGGAACCGGGTACAAGGGCGTGTTCAAGGACACCTCCAAGCCGACCGTCCGCTTCCGTGCGGGGCACAGCGTGGCTGGCAAGACGGTCAGCCTTGGCAGCTTCGGCACGGCGGTGGAGGCGGCGGTGGCGTACGCGCGGGCTGTCGGGCAGGCTCCCGACTCGGCAGTGGAGGCGGCGGCAGAAGCGGAGGCGGCGGAGCGAGCGGCGGAGCGAGCGGCAGAGGCGGAGGCGGCGGAGCGAGCTGCACCCGCGCTGGCGGAGGCGGAGGGGCTGTGCCTTCACCTCTCGAGCAGCAACGGAACCGGGTACAAGGGCGTGTTCAAGGACACCTCCAAGCCGACCGTCCGCTTCCGTGCGGGGCACAGCGTGGCTGGCAAGACGGTCAGCCTTGGCAGCTTCGGCACGGCGGTGGAGGCGGCGGTGGCGTACGCGCGGTCGGTCGCGGGCGAGGCGCCGGAGCCCCAAGCTCGAGCTCTGTGTCCGACGGTGGTGGCGGAGGCGGAGGGGCTGCAGCTGCACCTGTCCGACAAGACCTCCACCGGCTACATGGGCGTGCGCGACGAGACCGGCCGCTTCCGAGCGGAGCGCTCTCACGTCCACCTCGGCTACTTCGACACGGCGCTGGAGGCGGCGGTGGCGTACGCGCGGGCGGTCGGGCAGGAGAAGGCTGAGGCCTCGCGGGGCGGCAAGAAGCGGGGCGGCAAGGAGCGGAGCGGCGGTGGCGGTGGTGGAGCTTCGGCGGCCGCCGCGAGCGAGGGAGGGGGGAAGCGTCGCAAGGCGCGCAGCAGCCTCCACGAGGCGTCCGCCTCGGACCTCTTCGAGTCTCGCTTCTCTCCGCTCGGCTCGCCGTCGCTCCGCCTCGCCCCTGCCGTGCGGGCGGCCTTCGACTCGCTGCCGGCGCACGAGCAGGCGCGGCTCGCGGCCTTCCTCCCCGGGCCAGACCGCGAGCCAGCCGCGTGGGCGCAGGCGCTGCGCTCCGAGGCGCTCGCGCAGGCGGTCGACTGTTGGCAGGAGCGCACCGCACGACCACTGGCCCGCCTGCTGCCCCGTCCGGCAAGCCTCTCACCCCTGCCCCCGGTTGAACCCCCCCCCCCCCCCCCGCGCTGCCTGCAGGGGCATCTCGCCGCCGGAGAGTTCGACCCTACCGTCGAGGATGTGCTGCGCGTGCGCCGCGCCTCCGCCCTGCGCAAGGCAGAGCGCACGCAGCAGCTCCACCTCGAGCGGCTGAGGCAGGCCGTCGGCGCAGAGGGCGGCGCGGGCCTCGCCCGCTGCCTCAACCAGGCGGCGACCAGCGCCAGCGGGGCGGGCACCGAGCCCGATCCTGCGCCGCCGGCAGAGCCAGAGGCTGCGGGGGTCGAGGCAGCCGCACTGCCGAGGCTTTGCGCCGCAACGTTCCTGATGCCGCCGGCGCCGCTGCAGCCGGCGGAGCGGGAAGTCTCCGAGCGCGCCGCCGCGCCAGTCGTGACGGAGCGTCCGCCGCAGGAAGGCGCCGAGTTTGCGATGAGGAACGCGCCGTCGCTGTGGCTGCTCGGGGCCGTAGCGGCCTCGTTCCAGGCGGGCGAGCCAGGCGAGCCAGACGAGGTCGCCGACGCGGACTAGCGTAGTGGGACGGATGGGGTCCGCTCTTCTGGTACTGTTTGTGATGCGATGAACACTATTGTGGAGGTGGTTGTGGAGAAGAGTGATGTGCCTGGGGTGGGGCGCGCACACCGCGCTCCTTCTTTCTCTGGCACATTAGCTCAAAGAGTGAGAGTGCTGACCACTCCTGATCTTTGGCCCGCCAGAGGGATATGCGGCGTTTCGGGCGACAAGCAGCGCTGCGACCGCGAAGTGGCGGTGGACATGCTCCCACGGTGCCGACGCAGCGCCGGAGTGGCCGGTGCTGCTCGCCGCGACCACGACGGCTACTCCGATGCTCCGGGCCGACCCGTCCTACCCGACGGTGGCACTCTTCCACGTCTCGCTCACGCTGAGAAAAATTCTGAAACGGCGTGCAGCAGAGTCGCCGACGAATCGGTCCGCGTGCCTCCTCGTGTCGCGCATCGTTCTCACCCATCCATAAACTCACTTTGGCCTCACTAAAGCGATGCCTCAATCCTGAATCCTCAGATTTTAGATTAGGACGCTGTGGGCCCTCTACCCAAGGCCCAAGCCCCAATGTGCAATGAACACACCAGTGAGGGCGGGCCGCAGGACGATTATCGAGGGGGGCTACCACAATCAATGCGGAATCGACCCTATCCCAGTCAACAGTGCAGGCTAAACCTCCGAAAATGTGCACCTGGGATATGGCTGCGCTTTTCTTCCCCGTCAGGGGCAGCTGACCCCCCCATCTACAGATGATATGCGCATCTTGAGATAATATGCATCTAAGATGCGCCCTATTTGGACTGCACACTGTCTTGCCTATGCTCGAGCATCTCTAGATGGTATTTTCAACTTAAGATGCCGGAGCATCCTGGCACCTGGGATGCTCGAATCATCTGAAGATGCTTCGCATCCCCCAAGAAGCAAGATGCTTGGCATTTAATCATTAAAATGCAAGTTAAATTATAAAAACTTGAGCGGCGTGTGAGCCCTTGGATCAAAGTGGGAGTGGAGACTATGAATCTATGCTAATCTCAGCTGCTACTAGTATGGCTATGTAAGTGTGATGTGACTAACTACTCTGTTGTCTGTGGAATACTACTGATGGTGATGGAACTGGGAGCCAGTGAGTGATGGGGGGGGGCACTTAGCCCTTGTGCTAATGCTGACTTTTCTACACTATGGAAGGTTGCGGTTGTATATGTAAGACTGGTTTTTATTTCGGGTTCGGCAAAAAACCCCACGCGCTCATGTTCCTGAGATGCATTGCGCATCCTCAGATGCCACATTGCATCCTGGGATGCATGGACTAACCCAAGATGAGGGTATCATCTCGGCACACTTGTGAGTCTGAAGACGACTGCAGTAGAGATGTCACGGGCTATCAAAAGACGCGGGGCACCATCTAAAGATGATTGAATCTTCTTGGAGAACCCAATCATAGTGGAGACACCCGGTGTCCTTAGATGGAAAACGCATCCTAGATGGCGTTTGGCATCTAGGATGCGCATATCATCTGTAGATGGGGGGGTCGCCGCCCCTGACGCCCTGTTTCACAGCCATCCGTGCTAAGGATGGCTGGCATGCCTAGATCTCAGCCATACCCTCCTACCGGATGGCTGAGATTTAGCGTAGGCATGGCCAGCCATCCTTAAGTCACATAGCTGCAATTAAAAGAAAGCATCCTAGGCACTCCGCCCTCCCAGCACGGCGACGCGCCATTTTGGCTGCGTTTCAGCGCCCATCTTAGGATCCTCACAACCCCTTTTCTGTTGGTCAGGATCTAGTAAGCTCAGCCATCTCCGGCCGATGGCTGCGACGGCTGTATGACAGCCATCTCGCGGCCGGGCGGATGGCTGGGACACAGCCGTCGCAGCCATCTTACGCACGATGGCTGCACTGGCTGGTGCGCAGCCAAGAATGGCAAGATAGCGCGTGCTGGGAGGGCGGAGTGCGTAGGATGCTTTCTTTTAATTGCAGCTATGTGACTTAAGGTCCTCCGGGCCAGTTTCGGGGGGCAAACCCTGCCCGGCCGATAGAGCCCCAGGTAAGGTCCAGGTGTGGCCTAGGGCATCAGAAGGGACCAAGAGGAGTCCAGTCTGAGCCATAGAGCCCATGTCTTTGCCCCCGAAGGTCGCGTTCAAATGCCCGGAACGGACGTTACAGTGGTGTCCGGCCGGCGCGATCACCGAGCTGTGACGCTCAGGGAAGCCTGATGAAAAATAAAATATTCTTACCTTCAAGCCCCCCTCCGAGACTAGGGACAGAACCCACCCGTACACAGGAGAGATGGGACTGCGCCTCGCCCCCACTTGCCCTGACTGCACAGGATTGCGTGCCCCGAAGACGGCGACACATAGCGGGGGACACTGCGCAAGGAGGGGGTGCGAAGCCAAGGTTGGGGTTCTAGGTGGTGGGACCATGAGGGGGGGTGGGCGGGGTCCTGTGGGGGTGAAATGTTGCGCGGCGAATTCGAACCTACCCCCTCGCCGCGCCGATCCTCACGCGGAGGG